ATAGTCTCTCATGGTTCACCTCCCCTTCCAATTTCCCTCAACTCCCTCTGCCTCTCCATCTCCTCTTGTCCTCCATGCTATTTGTTATGCTCCACAAATCAGTGAAACCATATGATAATTGACTCTCTCTGCTTGACTTATTTCACTCAGCATAATCTCTTCCAGTCCCGTCCATGTTGCTACAAAAGTTGGGTATTCATCCTTTCTGATGGAGGCATAATACTCCATAGTGTATATGGACCACATCTTCCTTATGTAATTTTATTTTTAATTCAATTTTTCTCTTAATTCTTAGTTTACTTACCTTCTCTGATTTCATTCATTCCCATTGTACCTTATGTTATGAGGCTTTTTGCTTCTGTCTTCAAATATTTACATTAAGGCAAATGCTTTCAGTAACCATGAAGAAAAAGATAAAAATGAGCATAAATAAATAAAACTCTTTACACAAATCTTTTTCTTTTAACTGCAATCCTATTACTCTCTTATGTCATGCTTTAAAAATTAGGAGTCTGTTCCCACTTGCTCCATTTCCTCATGTATTTACAAATTGATCTTTTACTTCCTTTGCTCTAATCTCATAGAATTATTCTTCACAGTTTAGAGATTTTAAGGTAACAATGACCTTCTAATTGATGAATCCTGTGGGTATATGGTAATCATAATCCCTCTCCATGTCTGTGATAAATTTGATCATATAGGATTTTCTTTCTTTCCAAAAATGATCTGCTTCTAATCCTTCCAAGTTTCAAAAGTTCAAAAATCTGTTTTTCTTATCAACCCCCCCTTTTTTTAATATTTTGCTGCTGCCCCCAAATATGGAATCTATAACTGATCCTTCAAATATATGTTATCTATCAAAATTATTTTAGAAGTCTCAACCCACAACCCCCTCCTTTGCAATGCCTACCCTAAATCCTAAGCAGGTTTCTTGGCATTTTGCTAGATCAGTTTCATTGGAAACCTAATCATATTCTATATTATCTGTTTTTATATGCCTATTTGATTTTGGATTTCTTAAATTTGTAGAACCATTGTTGGGACACCCGCAAAACCCTAAGATATAATGAATATAGAACAAATGTAGATACGGTGAAACAATGTCTAAATCCAAACAGCTATATGTTATAATGGCCTTGCTGCCCTTTGCCATTGCTGTTTCTCCAAAGTTCACTGTTTCCTAGCATAATTCTCTGCCTCCAACATTTCTTCTTCCTACTTTTTTGCACAACACTGTCAAATCATGTCTTCAATCTCATTCATTCAATTAGATCATTCATTTCCTCCCTAGAATCTTTGATTACCACTCCCTCTTGTGTATAACTGTCACCGATTTTCCACTCACAATTTTTGGAATGCTTTTCTTGAAGACCCCTTTATTGCATTACTTATTTACTTTTTGAACACATCCTCACAATTTCAACGTGCTAGATAGAAGACTGATACTCTTTCTCATCCTCTTTTGCTTTTTTCTTCTTTTTCTTTTTCTTGAAAAAGACCAGTTTGCCTTTGCAAGACAAGAAACCAGTCATTACTCTGGACAGAAAAATAGAAAGCTCAGATAGTTCAGGTTACAGCAAGTCTTCATGTCCATACTTTTGCATCTCAAGATGGAGCCATGGTTCTAGTTACTCTCCAGGGAAACACTATCCATGAGCATTTAAGGGACCACCTGGCTTTTTGGTATAGTTTGTTTGTTTGTTTTTGGCTGCTTTCATTTGTAGGGTTTCTCCTTCCTCTTTCTTCAAATAAGTCCCTCTTCATTACCCAGAGGGACTTTACAAACTACTGATATCCAGTCCCACCCGGAACGCTGATTCATTGAGTCTAAGTTGAAACCGTGTCTTGGCTTTATGTTTTTTCACAAGTTTTCTGGGCCATTCTAAGGCACATCTAAGTTTAGGAATCCCCACATTAACCACTCCAGAGTACTAATAACAAACAGTGATAGTTACATATACAATGCAAATCCATTCTCTCTGTCACATCACACAGTCAACACACTACTTTACATTTCTTATTTAGTCAGCATTTCTAGAATATATAAATCATGTGAATTATGTATCTTAACTTCTGCTATAAAATCTATCTTCTCAATAGACCCAATCTGATGATGACTGATGGTTTGTAAATACTTGTCTGTCTGCCCATCAATCTGTCTCTCTGGCTCTACCTAACATCTATCTATCTAGTTTGTATCTGATTTACCATTGGAATCAAAGCTTAACCCTTGCACCAATGAGTTTTCCTTCAGAAGTTAGGATTCTACACTGACTTGTTCACATTGCCAAATCAAATACTTTGCCCCAAGAATTTTATCAAAATAGAGCTTAAGATAGTAATATAATGCTGACATTGTATTGTTCAATTCTAATGGAATTATTTTAAATGTTGTTAAAAATGATGGGGTCTTTCATCAGCCATTGTGTGACATTCTTTATTTGGGATTTTTATTATGAATTATTTTTGTTTCATCCATTACACGTTATTTTTTTAAAAAGCTTTTCATACAAAATGAAGCATTTATGAATCTAAATATTTGTTATTATATAAATAGATCTTAGCATTTTAAATTTATAATAACTTTTCTCTCATCGTTAAATTTAATATGCAACCTAAAATAATTTGTGGAAATTAAAATACAATCAGTATAGGGTAAGAAATGAAGAAAATACACAGATTCATAGAAGTTGTTATACAGTACATAATAGAAAAAATATTTTATTTTTGACATTTTTCAGTGCAAACATAACCTATCACCTTTGTGCTGTCCTATCACTACTTTTGGTGGAACTAGCATTTAATCACAGGTTCTGAGTTTACTACCTTCAGCTAAACATCACCCTCTTTTCTATTTTTATATCAAAATGTAACATTTCTCATAATTTCTTATTTTTTCCTTTGTCAACTTATTGACAAATTATGTGTTTCTCTATTCATTTTGATCATTCCTTTTGGGTTAATGAAGACTGATTCTAAAAGATTTGAGAACCATTAAAATAAAATCAAGAACAGCATTTGATCCTCCTTTTTCCCACTCTCTTTCTTTACATGTGTATATTAATCCATTGCTGTGTCTTGAAACGATATGTCTGAATAACCAATGGAGTGCTTTCCTAAATTCAGTATTGTCATTTAAAGCTCATTGTTCAGTAGTATTTACTGAGTGTCTTCTGTATGCAGAGCAATGTGGTTTTAGGAAACTATCAGCAGCCTTGTTTCTTAGATGAGACTGAAGAAATCCAGATAATTTGCTGAGAGTGATAAATAGAAAATAATTAAAAGAAAATATGTGCACATAAGATAAAGCATAGCAAATACAAATTAATTTTTATATTTACTTGTATATATGAAACGTCATACTACTGTAAAGAAATGTGAGAATTATTAGTTAAGTAAGATTACTGTTTCTAGAATTTATTGCCAGTAAATATGGGGCCATGATATATATATACTTTTTGTACTAGAAATATTTCATAATTGTTTTACTGCAGTTCCAATTCAGTGAAACATTATAAAGAAGAGAATGTGCTTTGAATGTTCTTCCCTTACAATAAGATTCAATGGTTTTAAAAGATTGATTTTGAACTAGAATGAATATAGAATTTTATAAAGTTTGTATACTCCAAATAAATACATGAAAGATAAGGTACTGGTTAAGAATGCCAATAATGGACAATATCCCTGGCAAGTCTTCTGAGACAAGATACAAGGAAGATTTGCAGAAGCACGTGTTTTTCTGTAGTAAAATCAATTTTTTAAATTTGGAGGAAATTCCATAACTCTTCATAATTTTCCCTTTAATAACCAACATGTGTAGATTATCATTAACACTTTAAAAATAATCCTGGTCCCAGCTGTGACTAGTAATTTGTACCATTAGTATTCAAGTTATAAAAGTGCAGAAAAGGCTTTTTACCTTTCTCATTATTTTCTGGCAATGTTAGTTTTATGCTTTATATTGAAAAGAACCAGATGAGTTATATGTTTAAGAATTGCTATTTTCAAACAATGCAAGAATCTTTAATGGATATAACTATTTCCAAGAATAATCTCAGACAGCTATTCCAGAAAATTTTTGTATTGTTTTTTTCCAATTATTATGTATGTAGCACTATCAATGCATGAGATCAGTTTGTTCTCTGAATGAGACTAAAGCTTTCAATTTATTTTGTAGTTACAATAATCTGTAAATTCCACACATAGTAAATCTTCAGTGCAGCCGACTTCAGTACCATAGTAAATTGTGAGATCCAACTGGATAAAAATATACAACACTTTAAAGATACAATTTAAAGACAGTACATGATGTAACTTTTTGTTTCTGAACAAACTGTAAGCAGTCATAAGCGCATACAATTAAGCTTTTTGGTTTATTCTGTATTCCCTGGTTAAAGAAAGGTTTATCTATTATTTTAATACCACCTTTACAGTTTTTAGTATGACTGGAGTAAGAAATATATTCCTGTTTTCTAGCACTGCATCTAAATTCCTATTTATCACTTGTACCTTAAATAGTTTAATGCACCTGTCGGAACAGTCGTTTATATCATATAGACAAAGTTTTTAAAGCTGAAGTTTTAAAAAATGAATTCTTGAAATGATTACTTCAATATTTATTGCCTTCCCAAATCAGTGACACTTGTTTTTATAGAGTCTATTGTGAAAAGCATATTTGAAGTGACGACTACAGAACAGAAGAAGGTTGACTATGTGGTACTAACATAGATTTAAATGTGTTTTTTAGTGAAATTGCCATTTTCTTATCTCTGTTTCAGAAGGGGAATTTCTTGTTTTTTTTTTTTTTTTTCTCCATAATAAAATCTAAGTTCTAGGCCTTGCCTCAGATAATGCAGTTAACCAAATAGCTTTCAACATCTCTAAGCATTTTGTATTGAATTAGTCGTCAGTAATCCTTGATGTATGTAATGTATGTGTTTTTTAATAAGATCATTTACAATCTTATATTTTAGTGACATTCAGAATCTTTTCTTTTGCAGCCATTTCGTAGAGTGACGTTTTCTGTTGTGAGTCAGCCTCAGGACCCACATCAGGGGTCACTGCAGAGTTGCTATGACAGCGGGCTGGAGGAGTCAGAGACACCAAGCAGTAAGAGTTCATCAGGGCCAAGGCTGGGTGCCCTTCCACTCCCAGAGGACAACTATGAAAGGACCACGCCGGATGGCAGTGTTGGTGAGGCAGAGCATATGGAAAATGGTAGGGGCAAACACAGCATCCACACACATAATCACGCTAGTGAGCCATAATAAGTAAACTTGCAAGGGTCAGTCTAAAACCCAAATAAAATAGCTGACACTAAAACTATTTTATCTAAAAAAATAAATATTTACTAAAGGACAGATGCCAAATAAAGGAACATAACCTTACAGATAAAATTCACCGAACTTGCACCATCATTTTAAAATAGCCTGTCAGAAATAAACACATTTCCAAATAAATCAGAGTAGTACCTGCTATGAAAAAAAAAAAAAAAACTAAATTAATTCATAATACCTAAACAATAGCCACTGAGAAAGGTCTTGTGTTATTGTTTTCTTCTATTCATTTTTGTCATGCAACTATTTCTTCAAATGCAATTGTCCAGCCTTAGTGAAAGGAAATGACAATAAAAACACCTTGCTCTTTCTTTTCCTAGGTATTTATTAAAGCATTTGTGAACCTCTCTTTTTGAGTGATAGCTGAAATGGAGTCAAACAGGGAGAACAGTGTTATCTTATTCTCCAGAAATGTATTGTAAATCCTATAAGAACTCCCTTCTCATTTAAGTATACATCGTGTTTTTTTTTTCTTTCATTTTTGTACAAGGTAAAAAGAAGAAAGCAAATTTTAGTTCTATATGTTCCTATCCTGTTGTGAAATGATTCTCATGAGGACCACAAAAATTGGCCTCCTATACACTTTCTTTTAAGTTATAAAGTTAGATTGCAAATAGTATTTATAAATCTTTTCACACTTGCTTATGTTCCCCAAAACAATTAAATGACATATTTTTTTGGATTTCAGGTTATAAGTAAATGCCTGAGGAGCAGGCTTGTGTGAAATAATGGAATGGTAAAGTTTATATCAATTGTATTATTATTTCAAGTGTAAAAAGAGATTTGGTTATATGTAGGGGAAGGAAGGGGAATCACGCATTTTATCTCTAGTGAAAACTTGAAATGGATTTGTCTTTCACCATCCCATCCCCCAAGTGAAATAAGACATACCAACTTTCTGTTATATACCAGTTTCTTTAGTGATGGTATGCAAATAGAGCATATTAATGCAGGAAAAGTCTGATTTTCTTGAAGTTTACCTATGAATATTAAAATCCAGTCTTAGTAATAGACTATAAATGACCCCAAGTGAAATTATGGCTAAACTAAATCATGTTAAATAATTATTTTTCCACACTGTTATCTGGGTGAAAAGATATGATATCAGGGTCTGATGATTGATATCCCTCTTGATTAATAATCCAGAGTTCAAATGGCATTTTGCCTTATGGCTATAAAGGCATGCTTATCTGTGTGTATGGTGGTGTATGCTTATGTGGATGGGAGCTTGATGTGGTTTTTAAGAATTAAGTTTTTTTAGTATCTATTTAAATGACTATAAAAATTTTGGTATGAATTGCATTGCTGATGAATATATTTCTAAGGCAAATATGATTGAAATGCTTTGCACAAAAGTAAAAATTAAAATACTACAATAATATTAGATACACACACATACCTAGGAAGGCAGAATTGATCTAAGGACATTCCTATACCTGTGATTACCTTTTGATGATATGATAGCTTTATTTGTGTTTTAAAAAGTATCTCACAATAAACAACATAATGTACAATTAAGTCTTGATTTTTAGATGTCAGCTATATTAACAGAAAGGACTTTGTATCATTGTCATTATATTCACCTTTTAATGTTATTTTTCTGTTTTTTGAGTTTAAGTGGATTCAACACCTTTAATATAAGTAAGAAATGACAAGGAACAAACATAATTATATATGGTAAACACATATCGGTTACTTTTTAGGAAACATAGATGGAAAACTTAACAGGTGAACTTGTTAAGAAACTAGAAAGTTGCTGAGAAACATTTGCCAAGTAAGGCTTTTAGTTATTTTTTATAACCATGTTTTTAGTCTTGTTAACAGCAAAGACTATCATAATAGAACTGATTTTTCTGATTTTGTATGTGACTGACACTTGAAATTCAGTTTTATATAATCAGTTGTCATCTGTTAGCTGCGATTCATGTTAGCCCTGATCTATAGGTAATGACAGAAGGAGATGTGATTCACTTTGGGTGATCCAAATGCAGTAGTTGTTATTTGAATAAGTTTTGTTGGGTCCAAGTTTTCAGACTACTATCTAGCCATAAAGTACAATTGTGTTGCTTGAATTCTGGTAATTTTATCTTCAATATTAATGGGTCATTCTGACATAAATAGAATTGGAATTGAAATCTGTCAAGTATTCATTTGTCGCATTTAATTGGAATCCAGGTAATCTGCAGCGTTTTGCTTGGTTAGGTTTTAATCAGGATTTGTATTGGATTTTCCATGAAAATACAATTTTGGATGCTGTCTTAGTTCCTAATTATTATTACCTCAAATATTTTCCTTGAATTTTAACCTATGTGAGCAATGCAGTTAAAACTGATTTTTTGGATTAACTTCCATTGTAAAGTTTAGAGGATAATTTCCAGTGCAATAATAAAACATTCCAACGTCATGATGCTACCTGGGTATGTGTTAGAACAGCTAATGATAAAAATAAGTTGTCATAGATGCTGAAGTGAGGAAGTAACTAAAAATAACTAAAATAACTAGAAGGAAAATTTAAGTAGAGAGGCAGTGAAATACTCTTATGTTCTTCAAAAGCTTTTATTTGCTTCTCATACTTTAGCATAATAAACACAATTTCATAAAGAGGGCCTGTGGATTAATAAGCTTTATAATAAGCTTTATCCTACATTCCAACCCACCTTACTGCCAAATGATGAATGAGGTTTTATTCTCTTATCAGCTTAGGAAAAAGAATACACTATAAGAATCAACATAATTTCATAAAACCTGAATCTAATAATTAGAATGAGTCCCACCATTTTAATAATTCCAGATCCAGGTACTTACATCCATGGGTCTCTGGAAAACAGTAATGGAAATGATGTCATTAAAAATATTTCAAGAATTTGTTATGAATTAGACATTAATTCATGAAAAACATCACTAATATATTTTTCTTTGCTCTTCATGAATTATTATCAATATTATGATGATCTCGTGTTGATCTTTTGATAAGATTGGGGAAATTAGTCATTTATTATTTGAATAAAATACACTTAATGGGATAGGATATTTTATTTTATTATATATTATTGGGAGCGGGCAGAGGGAGAAGGAGAGGTAGAATTTTAAGCAGGCTCCATGCTTAGCATGGAGCCTGATGCAGGGCTAAATCTCACAATCCAGAGATCATGACCTGAGCCAAAGGGATAAGATATTTTAAAATATGGGGTTCATGACAGGAAGTTGAGTAATGATAAAATATTTGATAATGCAAATATTAAAACAATTGAAACCTATTACAATGAATTCATAATTCAAGTGAAAAACAAATATTGTTTAAAAACATCATCACATTAAGGGCATAAATTGACTATGCAAGAGCTTGCCTTTGTCTACATCATGCAGTTGTCTTCAGATTTTCTCTTGGAGTGGTATTCAACAGTTTCTTTAGATCTATTGTTACTTGACAATTGACCTTTGACTTCATGCCATAGTCTACTTATTCTTCTCAGTTACCCCCTGAATTACCTTTGCAAGTCCAATTTGGCTTTGCTATGTGTACTGTAACCATATACAGTGTTTAAAACTTCAGATAAAGGAAGCACCCCATTTGACCTCCAATCCCAATTTTGCCTTTAGGATTGGGTAGCTCACTTTTTCCTTCTGGATCTGCTTCTGATCATCTATAAGGTGGTTAACAGAATTAACTCTAAAATCTTACTCAAATCCAACAATCTGTGATTTTTTTCTTTATATCCAATTTTCCTTAGATGTTTTACTCTCCAAATCAGAAACAGAGCTTTGGGCAGATTTTAAAAAGTTAAATGAGTTAAAAAATTTGGCCACTCTAAAATGCCTAATTAATTTTATGTCTCTTGGTTTTCTCAGATATTTAAAAGATAATTTTGATTTTTATACACTAATATTTCTGAGCCCCCCAATTCCAAACTTTCTTACTTTTTCAGAAATATGTAAGTTAGGCTTAGTCATTGTTTCATTCATTCTCCTCATTCCACATGTGTTCAGTATTATTTAGAGCACACTGTTTTTGAGTATTAAACCACGGTACAGTTTATCACAAACTCATTTTGTATCTGCCGTGGACTTTTCACATTGCTTTCAGAAATACTAAGGGTTGCTGGAGGGGGCAGGAGTGGGGATAGGATAATTGGGTGATAGACATTAAAGAGGGCACGTGATGTAATGAGCACTGGGTATTATATAAGACTGACGAATCACTGAACTCTACCTCTGAAACTAATAATAAATTATATGTTAATTAATTGAATTTAAATAAAAATTTAAAAATTTAAAAAAATACATGTGTATAATTGAAATTGGAAATGAAGTACCATTTTTATATGACCAAAGGTAATGAGAATGGAGACTAGACTAATAACTTTGTGTGGGATAAAGGGCTCTCTCTCTACCTTTCTCCCACCTACCCAGTTTCCAACAGTCACTTTTAAGGTCCTGCCACCTAGTCACTGTTAGCTTGTTTTCAGTTAGATTGAATTAAGTCGCAAGGTTGTGTCTTCCATCTTTCCAAAGATGCTCAAACACTTCTTAATAGCATAAGTTTAATGCCTCAAAACAAATGCCCTGCAAATGCACCCCCCTCCTTTTTTTAAATTTCTGCAGGAAGAGACTCACATACCCTGGAAAGGATTCATTTGCATGGTTCTGCTTTTCAGCCTGCCACTTTATTGCCAGAGGTGGACTGAATTTTCTACCTTTCTAGAAGTAGAACTTTTCTAGAAGTAGTACTTTTCTACTTCTCTGTGACAAGGGTTTGTGCCTCCCAAGTATCCCCAAGTCCACATGCCCCCCTCCCTGACTTCTGGAGGACTTTACTCACTTCTGCTTCTTCATGGTGATTAGAGACAGAAAGAGATTACAGAGGCTGTCTCCAATAAAGAT